TGCGGCTGTTGGGCCGGAGTTTGCGAGGCGGGAGGAAGTCGGCGGGGCGGGCGGAGGACGGCGGCGAGGAGGAGGAGGAGGAGGCGGAGGAGGCGGTTGAGGGCGGCCCGGGGTGGGGGGGTCTCACAAAGGGCGAGGCGAGCGCTGGGGCCGGGGCAGCGCGGGGCGGGCGGCGGCGGCGCCACCACCATGCCGCGGGTGGTCCCCGACCAGCGCAGCAAGTTCGAGAACGAGGAGTTCTTCAGGAAGCTGAGCCGCGAGTGCGAGGTGAGGCGGGAACGGGAGCGGCGGCGGGAACGGGCGGCGCAGTCTGTGCGCGCCGCTGCGCCCTTATCGCGCCCGCCCGGCCCTCCTTGATTGCGCCCGCGCTCCCTCGCAGATCAAGTACACGGGCTTCAGGGACCGGCCCCACGAGGAGAGGCAGGCCCGCTTCCAGAACGCCTGCCGCGACGGCCGCTCCGAGATCGTAAGTGCCGCGGCCCCCGACGTTGGCGCGGGGGGAGGCGGGGATCGAACCCGCGGCCGCGCCGGGCCCGGCCGGCCGCCGCCGTCCCGCTCCCCGGCAGTTTCGCTTTTGTCCCCACGAAACGCGGGGCCCCCCTGAAGCCCCCGCTCGCGTCACCGCCCCCGCGGCCCGAAACGCGCCGTAGAGGCCAAAAACTGCCCCGAAAACCACTTTTTTTTTGGCCCTCTCCCGCCCCTGAGGTTTGCGCCGTGCGACTCGGCCGGCCGAGAGGAGAGAGGCGCGCTCGGCGTCACGGGAGGGAAGCGGCGCCGGTTTGGGGCGAGAAACGGCGTTTTCTGGTGYGCGGCCGCCCGCCCCCGCGCGCATCCCCCCTCCGCGCTCTGCCTTCTCTGTTATTTTTCCTTTTCCCCCCCTTTTTTAGTGTGCGTGAGGGAAATAGCAGCTTTTGAAGAGCAGCCGCGCGTCACGTTGCGCCCAACGTAACGCCACAAAACTCTTCAAAAACCTTTTTTTCTTGTGGGCTGAAACTACTGCTTTGTAAATCGGGCTTTTAAAAGCTCGAAGCTCAGCCCTGTCCTACCTCATTCATTAAGATTAGCTACAACCCCCCTCCTTTTTTTTCTCTTTTATTTTTTTTTCTCAGAATCAGAAATTAAAGGTAAATATGGCTCGGAGGAGTCGAGAAGTGACTGGTTATTTCCTGGTTTGATTTGTGCCCGGTTCCTTGGGCGAGATCGGTATCGCGCAGCGTTGCTGTGAGCGCTCTCAGGCTTAACTCCTCCTTACAAGGAGCTAATAACCTTAACCYCTGTCCCTGCTTCTCCCGTGGGGTTTTGGAGCCTGTTTTCGGAGAAGCCCCCTCAGTCAAGCTCTTAATTTTTTTCCATTTTTTAAATTCTTGTTTTTTTCCCCCCACCGCATGCCTCTCCTCCCTTTAAAAAGTCACCGGGGAAACAATGGGTAGGTAAAGAAAACTTAATGTACTTTCATTTCCAGTTCCTGAACAGGTGAAAGCACGTAATAGGTTTGAGCCCTTCCCTTTTTACATAAAAAAAGAAAAAAARAATCGACTTAGTGACTTATTAAGTGCAGCTTATGCACGTATTTCTGCAAGTGGGGARTCCCTGTAGACCCACACTGGTATTTCTAAGCTGGCTCCATCAGAACTGCATCCCTCGGAGAAGCCACCAGTGATGCCTGTTCTGCGTAATTTTTATTTTCCATTTGCTTAATTATAAAGCAGCCTCCTAATAACCTCCTGAAACACCTGGTTTTGTTCTGCAAACAGGGCATAAATAGGCAAGTTTATTTAGAAACGTAGTGTTTGCAGTGACTGATGTTAAAAATTGAGCTAGCTATTTCACTCTCTTTTTTTTTTTTTGGTCTCAAATATTTCCCTGGAGATAAAAGGTGTATTCTTTTATTTTCCAAGGGGAGCCTTTGCAAGTGTCTTTATGTATTTTAAGCAGTTCCCCCTAAAGAAGGAAAGAAAATGGCTTTAAGTATTTAATCGTAGAGCTTGCAATAAATAGGTTCCCTTTGTCAAGTAACTCTTTATGGAGTAAGGGAAATAGTTAACAGCAAAGAACAACTAAGCTGAATATTTAGGTTGTAGTAACCTGCTTTGATAACCTGAAAATAAAGTACTAAATTTGTTTTGAGAGACTTATCACTATGTACTTGGTTGGATGGCACTTACTTGTGTTTACGGTGCCTAAACGTAGGTCGAGACACCCTYGTGTTGCTGATAAGGTTGTTGCTAAATTGGAGGCACGCACGTTTACCATAGTGCTCCTGCCTCTGCTTTAAAAGATGACGGATAGCAAATTATGATCGTCTTAGTTTCAAGGTTGAGATCAACATTTGTTCGGTGCTTGTTTTTTTTTCCCCATTTTTTAACTTAAAATCATCAGTTCTAGTGCTGTCCTGTTTTATTACCAGTAAGACAGTTCTTGGATTTTTCAGAATTGCCCCCTGATTTGATTTAGGCAGAGAATGGGGGGTTTTAATGGGATGCTTTTATCTTTTTAAAGAGAGGAGATGCACTTCAAAAATGCGGAGAATATAAATACCTGCATGAGAGAATATAAATACCTGCATGACTTCTATGCAGCCCGTGGTCTGGGTGCTGGCTGCACAATTCCATGAGGATGTAGGAATTTGTGTACTTTCATTTTCCTATTTTTCTCCCTTTTTTGTGTAGTAGTTTAGAGGTTTTTCTATGGGGGGAAATAGCTACTTAATTTACCTAAAAGGGAATATTTTACTTACGGCCTGAGATTCTTGCACCTGCAGAAACATTACTGGTCTGGAAGGGTGCAGATATCGGCGGGTTTACCCCCAAAAATCTCGCTCCTTCCTATAGGTGGTTTTAAGCATGTAAAAGACATAGTCTAAAAGGCTCTTGCTAAAGATCCTTTCAGATGGGAAGGTGCTTTTTGAACGTGCAAAGTGGTGGTGACCTGATGAGTCAAAATTATTTAGCGGTAGGGATAATTTAATTGCTTAAATAGAAGCACTCAAAAGAAAAAAAAAAACCAAATAAAATACAAGTCGGGCAAATAACCTGATAACCGATGGGCTGCAGCCCTTGCTGATTTATGCTTCCCATTTGTGCAAATGTATCCCTGGTGAAGCCTCTGTTAACGTGGCTTGAAATATTTATCTTTAGAGCATTGTGTTCAGACAAATGCTAACATCCCAGTACAATCCTCTCAGTGCTGGGGGGGCTGATTTGTCAATTTTAATGGCATTGCACATGTGCTGAATGGGAGGGGTTTTCTTAGAAACTGCCCTTAGAGCCTGCAGTGGAACCTGGTCGCAGAGGATTTGTCTCCCTTTAAATAAAATAATAATAATTTAAGAAAAAGGCACTTCTACTTTCAGAATGGGAGGAATTAGTCCTGTGACAGAGTGGCGGGACCGTGACCGGAACTAAGTGACATGTAGAGCTGTTGTGTCACTGGTAGTGTCAGAGTGATATTTATATCGCAGAGTTGCTGAATTCTGGCTTGCTTGGCAGGAACCCCCTTGCCAGAAAATTCCAGCTCTTGGGGGAGTGTTTATGCACCTTTCTAGAAAGGCTGTGATCTGGATTGATGACCGTTTAAATCTAAGTGATCACCGTAATCCATCCAATTATTTGATTGCAACAAATCAGGGTTGACACTGAGAGTTTTGAGCAGTGCTCTACGCTGGCAGCGCGGTCGAGCATTCACATGCTCACAGGGCACGTCGTAGCATAGCATGGAACAGAAATGCTCCAAATCTACCCGATTCTGCTTTGAAATACTTCTCCTTTTTAATGCAGCCCTTAGAAAATGGCATTCGTTCCTGCTCTGAGCGCACGAGGTGTGCAGATAAACACAGGGGCTTCTACAGAAAACTTGGTCTTGCATTTGAGCCACCAGCGAATTATTTCCTTGAAAACCACCTGCACTTTTTCCAGTGGGCTTGGGCCAGTCCCCTTAATGGYTTCAGCTACAAGAATGGCTGTTTCTACCTGTTCTCACTGTATTTCAGTGGTGTCTAATGTGGCACCAGGATCACACTGTGGTGCCTAATAACACATGGTGTGTTTAGCAGTTTTTGGATGCTGATTTGCCTGCAGCCGGTGAGATGGGAATAAATACATTTCTGTCCAGATAAGTGTTTGTCTAGGTGTAAATATGACGATGAAAAGTTGCCTCTAGGAACAGCTACGGGGAGTTTATCTTTCCCTTTGAAATACTTTGAGAGAAATGCAAGCTCCCTGGAAAGCACGAGCAGTTTTTAGTGCTTCAAATACTGAGTTGGTAGAGGGAACCCAGGCAGAATTGAAATGACAGATTCTAATGTCAGCAAAACTGATTTGAAAGAAGTATCGATTCCATGTTGTATTTTATATCCGAAGCAGCCAATGGCGAATGTTGTCAAAATGGAATCAGATGTTTGTAACTTAATACTTAAGAAAAATGATGAGTGCATGTTTCTGACTTGAAGCATTCTCTCTGCTGCCTAGCTTAAGACATAAACTGATGTAAAAATAAATGACTGCCTGCATAATTTATGTAATGTCTTGCTCCCTGATCCTGTTTGTATTGATTTTTCTAAAAGGCTTTTGTGGCCACAGGAACCAATCTGTCTCTCCAGTTTTTTCCGGCCAGCTGGCAGGGGGAGCAGCGACAGACACCGACCCGGGAATATGTCGACTTTGAGAGAGAAGGAGGCAAGGTAAGGAGGAGGTTCTTGCAGCTGCAAAACGGTTCTCGTGCTCCTTGTCTTGGCAATGTGCACCGCTCCTGTAACGTGAAATAGTATTTGCCATCTTGGTCATGCAAGTACAGTTGAACGCCGGTGCAGTAACCTCCAGTCTCGCTTTGTTTTAAGGCATGTTAATATTTTGGAGGGAAACACGGGGAATACCAGGGGCTCCTTTTGCTATTTTCAGAGCAGAACTTCATTTCTGTCGCCACACTCCGATAAAGCCTYGGGGGAGCGATTGAAACGGCGTTCGTGTTTTCGCTAGATGTTTCTAGAATGGTGCAGAAGTCGGACCTTGGCCGGCCGTTTGTTGGACTGTTGGAAATTTGCATCCYGAGCAGGGTACTATTTGGGTGTTAGACTGTTAGCTGATGCAATAAATGCTCAGTTTGCTGTTTGGTGCCACAAGGCTGATACAATAAATGCTCCATTTGCCGTGTAGCGCAACGAGACCTTCATTTATTTTTAATTTTTATTTTTTTAAGAAACAATTTCATCACGCCCTTCTAGAATAAGCCTTGCTTTCAAAACTAAAGACAGAAACCCTGCCCAGTCTCATCAGAATAAAGTTACTGGAACTGCTTAGGAACGGTTTTATCTTGCCAARGGAAGCCATAYCTTTAAAAATGTAGATGCTGTGTTCTGTCTGTGCTCCTTAAACGCTTTGGGGCTGCTCCAGTAATGACTGAAGTCAGTAGTAGTGTTTCTGCTGACCTCAGGAGTTTTGGACCAGGTTTTAAGCCCCTTTAGCTTTTCTGGTTTGTTTCAAACTAACTTTCTTTTTTTTGTGGGGCGGGCAGCTTTTATCAGACTTCAGCTCTTGCTCCTGGCCATTCTGGTGATAAGTAAAAACTAATATTGGCAAATTTAAAAGACTGGAGGAAATACTTGAAACCCAGTCCGTTTTAGTGGCATATTGGGTCCTTTAACGGCTTCTAGGTGGCAGATAAATATTTCCTGCAGTAGGAATGCCTGACAGGAAGAAAAAAAAATACCTGAGGGGCAGATACGGTGTTTGGAATTCAAGTTAATGAGGTTTTTTTGGACAAATTATTTTCCATCTAGCCCTGCGAGGCTTGCCGAAGGTGGAGGAATTGGGGGCGAAGGAGCAAAGTTGGCTCTGCTGGGTCCTGGCTGCTTTGCTAAGGAAATCGAATTGAATCTGGCTCTCGCTGAAAAATATTGATTCTGGCTCACAATTGCACGAGGAATTTTTCTTGTAACGGGCAGGAAGACTGAAGCCTCTCTCCTTGCCAGTTGGAAAATAATTTTATTTACTTTCACGATGTATTTTTTTTTAAAACTCGGTTTTCTCTGAGTGAGTTCCCAAGGCGCTGAGCTCTTCCATCCATTTTCTGGTGCTGCCTCCATCACGTAGGAACCTGGGCGCCACACATTAAAACAGAACATGCCTCTCATTAACGCCTGCCACTCCCTGGTTTTTATGTGTGTTTACAGTAAATTCGAGCCCGCTTCGTCCGGATCCCGCCAGGCTGGTGCACGGGAATAGTCTCCTGCTCCTCATGGCAGCAGCTCCATGGCTCTCGGTGCCCGTGCAGCTTTGCCACCTAAAACCCATGCAAACACGGGCTCGTTCCRCACGGAATTGAGCTTGCACCAAAGAAACCATTCCCAAAACTTCCATGGGAGCAGCAGGCAGGTTTCTTGCCTTATCAACCAGCATTTGCCTTTCTGTTCTCGCTTGCACGGCCCAAGATTTTCGCCCCTTTGCATTTCCCAACTCGACTTGCTTAAGAATTTCTTTCATGGGCTGCAGCAGCCTCTGAACTCAGCACCATGTGATTTTTTTGTAGCTCTGTGCAGCGTTGTTTTATGAGCTTTGATTCTTGAGGCAGTGCATAACGTGTGTTTGTTCATCACTGGATGCAAGCCAGCAAGGCATGTTTTTAATTATATGAATAAAAAAAGGCTTTGGGGGGAGCTGTCAGTTAATTATTATTTTAGGCACTGGTTTGAGATCTAGAATGTAGATAAAGTTACCAACACGGGAATATTTTTATTCTGGAATTCTGCTCCAGTGTTTGACTAAGCAAGCGGTGGCCCAAAATAGTTTATCCAGAGTTTAAGTATGCCCCTGTTGCGCCTAAGCAGTTTTGTACACAGATTTACAAGATTATCAATGCAGTATTGCTGCTTGATTGCATTTTGGGGAGAGAAAAGCCCTTGTACGTGAAATCCTGGAGTCCATGAACGAAGGTGAATTTTAACTTCACAGGCTCATTTTGTTCATTTGGATATTTCTGAATTTAGGGGTTTTCCTTAGGCTTGAAACTTTGTACATCTCACGTTCACAGTGGGTGAGTTGGGGGTCCCTAGCAAACCCCCTGTCTTCAGTGCCTGAAGAACTGGGTAGCCAAGTTTGAAGCTTGGAAGAGGAGTAGAAAAGATACGTTAAATCTAACGTGTTTTTAAGATGATTTAAATGTTACGCTGTCTTTGCCATGCAGAAAATTAGCATCCTTTAACTATGTATTTGAGGGATTTTGCAGCTTTGCTTTAATAAAAGTACAAACGTCTTGGGGAAGAAGTGGGGGGAAAAAGGTGATCTAGATTGTAGAAATAGTAGGACATAGTTTTTCACTGTGATCCTCTCGGGCGGTTGCGAGGGGCTCAGTCCTGGGTTTTTGTGTTTCTGCACCTCCTAAGAATACCAAGGTTGCTTAGTCCTGTCAGTTGTCCACTTGTATGCAGTCCTTTAAAAAAAATAAACCCATAAAAATAAAGTTGCAAAGGAATTGAGAGGCCAGTGCTGCAGAGAGCCCCCTGCAACCTGGCACCRCTGCACCCGAGTGAAGTGCCGGGGTTTGGGTTCCCCTTGGCTCTCCAGTATCTTCAGTTACTCAGCCTTTCTCGTGCTTGGTGAAGCTCTTTCATTTTTGCTCTGGTTAGTACAGCTGGGGGCAGATTTCCTTTCACTCTTGTAAAAAAAATTACTGCAATTCTCTTGAGAACAGCGTGATGAACTCTTGCTTTGTCCATGCTGTATATATATCCTGCAAGACCAAATGCCCCTGTCCTTTGTTCCTTAGAGGTGTTTCTCTCTCCATAGCCTTCCTTACGTGGAAGCATTGCGATTTTGGGGCCTCCCTTCCTTGCTCTTTGAAAACCTTGACCCGTGGCTGCGCGCAGGGCCCCTGTGAGMCGTGGGAGGTTCCTTCCCTCGCCCTCCCCTTCCTCACACCCGGCTTCATCTCGCTTCTAACGCGGCGCCGCTTCCTGCCTGCTGTTGGGCAGCAGCTGCTCGTAAAGCAGCATCTTCCCCGCAGCCTCCCGCCGGCGGGAGCTGCTCCAACCACCGGCATTCCACAAGAAAGCCCCTCGGATGCAGCCCAAATGCATCCCGAGCCGGGGAGGCCACATGTGTCGGGGAGCCACGGCTGCTGCTTGCTGCATTAAGCCATTAATGAGTTTGGAAAGAGTTCTGGACTTGGTTTTCCTTCCTCTGAAGATGCTGGGGTTTTTCCTCATGGGCTGTTTCTCCTGTAGCAACTGGGAAATTTGGCTATAAGCAGTTGATGGTAAATTCTCAGATGCATGTGAAGAAAATTTGGCTATAAATAAGGTAAATTCTCAGATGCATGTGAAGAAAATTTGGCTATAAATAAGGTAAATTCTCAGATGCATGTGAAGAAAATTTGGCTATAAATATGGTAAATTCTCAGATGCATGTGAAGAAAAAATCACAGTGCAAATGCTACAGAAGTCTGAAAAAAAAAAAAGGTAGTGAGAAACAAAAGTTAAATTTAAATTCCTTTCAACAGAGCTGGCTTTACTTGGGGGCTCTTTTCTCACCAGAATTAAGTGGCCAGCTGCATAACCGAGACCCCAGTCAGCTTATTTTCTCTCTTTGGTAATAAATGGTCACGTTTTACAGGGATAGCCGTATTAGTTGCTCTGGTTTGTGAGCAAATGTCCAGTCAAACCTCTCAGGGTTTGTTTGGAAAGTGAAGACTTAAATGTTTAGAAAGTGAAGGCTGAATTTAGGAGAAATACCTGAATACCTGTGCGAGCCTGTTTCTGACTGCACTCTTTACTCTGGTTCACGCTAGTGTTTGAAGAAGTCAGTGGAAAGTCTTCATTCATTCAAGTAATGTTGGGTTAGCAGCTTCCTTGTTTAGTTTTTGTTTGGGTTTTTCTCCACACTTTGAACAAAAATAAAGGATGTCTGGGAAACTGTTTTAAAGTTTCAGCGCTCGTTTATCTCTCCTGTAGCACTCGGGAGCTGTGTTATTGAAGCTCCTGTATTTTCAGTCTGGTGGCATTTACAGTTAACACATAGAGGTTGCGTTGTCGCATCTGCAGCGCTCCTGGCGCCTGCACCCTGCAGGCCACCGGGTTTCGAGCCCSGACCCAAGTGGTTTTGGCTCAATTTTCAGTCTAGGCCTGTGGGAGAGGATGCCCAGGATGCTAATTTAGAAAAAACGTGTGCCAGAACTATGATATTAATCAAAGATGGTGTTGTATGCGGCACCACGTAGAGTAAGCTCAGCCCTAAGGTGCGTGTGGTCATTGCTTTATCTTTGCATATGATCTCACAGTTGAGGTGCTAACAGGCAGCAGGACTCCGTCCTTCAATTTATCTGTGGTCATTTCACATTCTTTCCAATTATCCCGACGATCTCGGTTTAAGATCCTCCTGGAGATCCTTGGTGCTATGGCCCTGAGAAGCTGGATGGTGAAGTTGGCAGCGCCGTTTGTACACAGGGAGGATACAGGGGCATGTAAGGTACCATATAGGTGAAAACCTGGCAAATGCCACCATCGAAGGGGATTTTTTTGTTTCCCTTCCCTTGTCTGCTCGTGTGTGGGGGTGTCTGAGGAGGACGTTCATGTTGCAGGACTGTCCTGCCCCTAAACTGTTGCTCTTGCGGAATCGTCTCGTCGCCTCGCCAGCCAAAGCTCAGGAGGCCCAGGCTCATTGTGCAGCTCTGCAGGCGGGTTTTAGGTTA